ATACATATATACATACATATATACATATATACATATATATATACATACATATATACATATATATATACATACATATATACATATATATATACATACATATACACAGACAGACAGACAGACAGACAGACAGACAGACAGACAGACAGACAGACAGACAGACAGATAGATAGATATAGATAGATATACATAGATATACATTTACATATATATACATTGATATATAGATATAAAATCCTATATATATATATATTATATATATAATTTTTTTAATATATATATATATATATAAAATTATTAAAAGAATACATATATATATATATATATATATATAATTTTTTTCCTATATAAAAGGAATTTTAAACCATTCCTGCACTCTTGCAATATTCTAAACAATGTTTCTAAACTATAAACTCTCTAAAAGACACAGAATGTCATGATTTCAGCTCCCTGCCTCCGCTGCTGTTTGCCAACTGAAAGTGCTCTTGGCCACGCCCACTTGGTCACGCCCACTTCTCCACTCTGCATGCTGAACAGCTGATCAGCTGCAGCAGGAAGCTTATCCTGCAGTATGGGCTGCACAAATGTGCAGCAGTGCTAAATAATTTTAAATAATTTATTTTAAATAAAAATTCCATGCCGATCATGCGGCTCATCCATCAGTCAGCCAATTGTGTGTCATGTCCAATCTTATTTTGAAAAAACGCGATAGAGCGAGTCTGCGATAAACGAACCGTGAAGTAGCGAGGGACTACTGTATACTCAAAATGGTTGTATGGAAAGATCCCACAGGCGTTCAAAAATCCTGCAGATGTCAAAACGGAGACACTTTGGGGTAAACATATAGCAGCCATTAAGAAACCAGGATTATTGATCCGTTCAATATACGTCTATTAGAGTTGTGATTGAGAGGGATCGGGACAGCTCTGCGATGCTGGTGGGCTGCCACGCATCAAAACGGATGGTTTTGTTTCTTGAAAGCATCAGGAAACCATTAGAGCTGAAACGCCCTGGAACATATTCAACATCGAGCCAGACAAAAGGAGCCACAGAGTCAGAGTGGAGGATGACCATGAAGCCCGACTTATCCTCTTGAACCTTTGCCTGGAAAACAAACAAACAAACAAACAAACAACTTAAGTCATCTCAGAGCGCTCTACAAAGTAGTAACAAGTTATTTTACTTTCTGCCGGCTGCTCCTGTCTGCAGCAAACTCACATAAAACATCTGGCAAAAGTTTATTGCTAGATGCCCTTCCTGATGGGACCTGGGCTCAAACTCACAGCCTCAGAAATACACGACCACGGCCCTGACCACCAAGCTACCGTAGACCCGGCAACAAGGTGTACCTGGGCATCTTACAGCCCCACATATGACAAAATGACATCTCTATCTGGCCCACAAAGGTCAACAAAAATTAATTCAGAATCAAATATATCTTTAAACACCATGCTCAATAACCCAGGTAAAAAATCCAACAAAGTTAAGTCAGGTCCTCTGGATGTTTTTTTTTTATTGTTGAAATGTTTCAGAAACAGAGAGAGAAAGACAGAGAGAGAGAGAGAGAGAGTGACAGAGCGAGAGCGACAGAGAGAGAGCACGACAGAGAGAGAGTGACAGAGAACCAGAGAGATAGAGACAGAGAGAGAGCGACAGAGCGAGAGAGAGATAGCGAGAGAGACAGAGAGAGAGCGACAGAGCCAGGGAGAGATAGCGAGAGAGACAGAGAGAGAGCGACAGAGAGAGAGTGAGAGAGACAGAGTGAGCGAGCCCCATGACCCGAAAAGGAAGAAGCGGGTAAAGATGATGGATGGGTGAAACATATCATTCTGCACACAAATTCCAAATCTTCTGGGATACTTTTAATTTCACAGTGCTTTTATTTTGGAGGCGAGTGGACGTTTATCTGCACCGTCAGGAGCCGCTCTACTGGAGTTTGAGAGACTTGAGTTAATGTTTAGACTGGATTTATGCATGAAGTACTTAAGAGCTTCACATGTTCATGATTGCTCATGGACTTCATGTGCGTATGAAATGAATGAATGAATTTAATTGAAATAATTACTGTAATATTGGGTCTCTGGAGGCCCTGAGCATCTTTGGGTGAGCAGAGAAAATGGTGGTTGGTGGGGCCCTGCTGGAAGCTGCGATCATCCTCCAGGTGGAAGCTGAGCAGGCAGGTAAGGCGGGTGCAGCGGCCACATCTTGACAGCAGGGAAGCAAGTGGCTTTTTAAAAATGACTGCTGCACTGCCCCCTGACACCAGCAGCTGATCCGATGTCAAGGTACAAACTGAGTCCAGGTCAGACCAGGAGTACACGTTCACCTGATAAACAACAACAATAATAATTCTGCTGATGCATCAAAGTCCAAGATGTGACATTGCTTTATATTTTTAGCATTCCTTGAAGGAATACGTATTGCTTGCCGTCTTTTATGCTAGAGTTTTTCACACTTTGAACTTTAAAAACAAAACAGACATAACTCTGAGTACATATTGTGAATGAATCTGTGACCACGTCAAATGTCATCTCAGTACCTGTAGACACGTGGCTAAGATTTTAGCCAGTTTTGTGCTTGCTAAGGTCGTTTAACTGCGGCAGCCATCTTGAATTGGAAAGACTCTAAAAACTGATAAGTGTAAACGCACACCCAATTATTGCTAATAATAATAAATAAATAAAACCTCTTAATATTGCCTTACCTTCTTTGTTGCGAAAATCAGATTAAGAATAGTCAACTTTAAATAAGTTTTATAGGATAAAAACAATTTTAAAATTTGGTATGCAAACTTAATTTTGTTGGTATTTACTTGATTTGACTCAACTTTTGTTAACTGATATTTGGAAGGGAACAGATTTAAAGGTCAAACTCATTTTAATAAAAAAAAAGATACATTTGATCAAAGACACAACAAACATAAAAGCCGTATTAGATGATAAATTTTCATCAGCTGCAAAGAGTACAGCGAAAGGTTGTTGTACCGGTATGTATGTATGTCTATACTGTTAGCAAAATATCACATGAACTGTTGAATAGATTTTAATGAAAAGACTCAAAAAGTAACACTGGACACTGTATTTTCCGCCGTACACGTTGCACCGCCCTATAAGTCGCATCAGTCCATATTTGTCTAATAAAGTGGAAAGATCCATAAATATGTCGCATCTATTATGCGTCACCGTTGACACGTCACCTCTGACAACCCGGAAATGTGAGCCGAACCTGCAAATGTGGACCAGTGTGCCAAAAACCGATGAGCTGCCAAATGGCGGCCACGGGAGCGTGCACGGGAAGACTTCAACAAGAATTTAACAAGATTAACGCCTAAAAACAATTATTTGTTTACTGGAAATTATAGCAAAGGTGTGTCTCAGTTGAACTATTCCTTAATAAATGCACTTTAATGATCAAATCAGTTGAGTTTCGCCCAGGCAGTGCAGCTGGTTTGATGGTTCCAAGCAGAGAGCAGAATGAAGGTGGGGAGACTACGGCAAGCCGATTGAGTCATTAAAAGCTGGTTAAGATTCTCAGTCATCCAGGACATTGTAAGTTTTTAAAAAATCGAGAAAAAAACAACAAAGTATAATAAAGTAAAGTATAATAAATAAAGTACAGTTGTTTTTGTCTTGAACTTTTTTGAATTTGTCATTATAGCCACGTTTACCTATTACATGATACAACAGCATGCAAAACACCTACTACTACTCTGCTGCTTTCAAGTGACTGAAAGTGGTACTGCTCAATTTTTTTTTCCAGTCAGAATGAATGGAAACGGTCATATCTCAGCCAAAAAAAGGTTTATAAATATGAGAAAAAAATCCATAAATATGTTGCTTCAGCCTATAAGTCACAAGGCATGTAAATTGTGCAAAAAACTGTGACTTATAGGCTGAAAAATACAGTACTTTTTTTTAAATCAACCCAATTTCATATGGCTGCCACAGCAGAACGACTGATAAAACAACAACATTACAGAGTCAGTACTAATATTGTTGTAGCTGAGTCACTATTTGTGACGAGAATGTATAAAATGATTTTTTTCAAAGTTTGAACAAAACCAATTTAAGCTTAGCCTAAAACTGTTGCAGGCATCTTCACAGAATGCTAAACCTTCAGCTGGATGAAGTTTGGTTTTAATTTTAAAAACATACCACAGCTCTAAGCTTCAGGTCACGACTCAGATCAGAGACGGCGTAGATAAACAGCGTGTCATCATCTTCAAAACCAACAGAAACGACTGGAGCAAAGAAGTCCTGAGCAAAATAATGCAACATTTTCCATTTCCCACCAAACTCTGCACAGACACATAACAAAAATTAAGTGATCAATTTAAAACACTCACTTCTAATATGCAGTAAAGTTTCTATAACAATCATAAACTGAATGCAAAAACTCCAAAGACTTGTTACATATATGAATAAGGAGTCACAAACAGACCTGAGATCAGCCTAAAATGTGTTTGAGAAAGACTTGACTCACCGATTGATGACCAGGAGGGAGCCTGCCAGACATCATTGAGCTGCCAGTAAAGAGCCCCCAGTGTGTGACCTTTGCCCTCAATGATTTCACTTCGACTCCGGCGATAAAACTCTGTTTGAGTCTTCACACACTGCGCCTGCATGACCTGAACAATCGAGACAGTCAGCTGGATTTATGCTCAGACTGAAACTTTGCCAAGGTTAGAGGCTGTCCACTCTGTGACGTAAGAAATCATAATGCTAGTTGTTGATCCAGCCAAACTTCTGTTTCTGAAGAAAACACACTTTGCCAGACTTCAGTTGTGTGTCTGTTAGTAAAATATCTCAGACCACAGAACACACTAATGAAACTTTGAGAAAGTAATGATTAGGGAAGGGAAGTCTGAGATTGTTATCATTGTATGTTTCCATACAAAGAAGAAATTAGTTCTCTGCATTTAACTCATCACACGTGGGATACGCCCAGGTGGAGCAGTGGGCAGCTATGGAAGTACCCGGGGAGCAATTAGGGATTAGGTGTCTTGCTCAGAGACACCACGACGTGGGCTTGGCTGGGAGTCGAACCGTGACTTTCTGGTCCCGAGTCAGCTGCTCTACCTCCACCCCATCTCAGCCTCCATTGTATTAATGTACCAGTACAACAGATTAACTTTTGGAGTCAACCCTATTTTATGACGGCTGCCACAGCCGTCTTAGAATAATACTTAGAAACAAATAAATGGCTATAATTCAGAAATGTTGCAGATATTAAGGTAAAATTTGATATGGTAGTAGCTGAGAGTCAATCCAAGCACAAACTCAACGTGTTTGTTTTCTCATAACATTATGTCTAAAATATTTTACCAAAACAAATATAACTATCATGTCTCAACATACCATGATCTACCAGTAGTTTTAAAATCTGACACAAATGGTGACCGGTGATATAAATCCCTACCTGCTTGGCATTTTAAATATGGGTTTGATTTGTTTTTTGTTTTTATCTGAATCCAAGCATGTTAAGACTTGTCCCCCGTCACGAAGCCAAGAGGGGAATTAGAAATAACCTTTGTCTGTCCATCCGTCTTGTGAGCTTGATAACTTTAAAAAAAAAATTTAAAATGAGGTACCGACTTCCATTTTGGTGTGTGGCTGCTTCTATGTGTAAGAAAGGTTTGGTTGCATCCAAGATGGTCACCGCCGTGTGTGCGTGTGCGTGTGTGAGAACCAGCCATCTTAGTCCTTTAAGGAAACAATGCTTTCAAGTTTTTATATTGTTTAAAAGTACAGTTTCCTCAAATGTCGGTTCAAGTTGGTGGTAACAAATGACTCCCTCCACTCACCAGGAGTCGTCACTCTGTGTCGCCTCAGACAAGCAAAAAATAAAAAAGTACCTCTATTCTTATACAGTGCAACTTCTACCCACTTTAATAGCTTGCACCAAAAAATATTAAGGTTTACATACATTCCTTGATCAATTCCAGTCAGCTCTCATCTCAAAAACTAAACATTCACTCATCAAATCCCTCAGTGACGGGGGACATAATTTTAGGAATAATCTTAGTAATCTTTAATTCTCTTCAAAAATGATGCAGCAGCAAAGAACAGTTCAGTGTTTAATCACCTTCTTAATCTAAAACAAGATTATTGTTTTTGTATAGTAGTCCATCGCTACTTTGCAGTTTATCGCGGACTCACTCTATCGTGATTTTTCAAAATAAGATTGGACATGACACACAACTGGCTGACTGATGGATGAGCTGCAAGATCGGCATGGACTTTTTATTTAAAATAAATTATTTTAAATTATTTAGTACCTGCTGCATATTTGTGCAGCTCATACTGCAGGATAAACTTCCTGCTGCAGCTGATCAGCTGATCAGCTGTTCAGCGTACAGCAGAGAAGTGGGCGTGGCCAAGAGCGCTTGCAGGTGGCTGAGAGCAGCAGCGGCAGAGCGCTGAAATAATGACATTCTATCTCTTTTAGAGTTTAGAAACATTGTTTAGAATATATATTGCAAGAGTGTGGGAAGAGTTTAAAATGCCTTCTTTATATATATATATATAT